TTGGACTCCAAACTGCCCTTAGTGTGAGTGTGTGTGGTTGTGGGTCCTTGTGTGTCTCTGTGTGTCCCTGTGATGGACTGGGGACCCCGCCTCTCCCCATTGGCTACTTGGATAGGCTCCGCCCCCGACCCCATCAGGGAATAAGCGGTATTGATAATGGATGCTCTCAGGATGTGTGTGTGAGTGTGTTTATACCTGAGTGGGACTCACATACCTGATTGCTTTCTTCCGTTTTTTCTCCTCGGCTTTCTCTTTCTGAGCTAAAGTCAAAGACTCGGCCTCCGCCAGATTATCAACAGCAATGGCCAGGAACACGTTCAGGAGAATGACTAAATCACCAGGTCAAAGATCATAAACCATAAGAACTGATGTGCAATCAAAGGGGCAAAACGTTTAACACAAAACATATGTGTGTTTTAACACACTGCTCTGATTTTATTATGAAAAATGTAATATGTTGTAAATATGTATGAACTTCCTGTGGTTTGGCTGCTACCTCTCTTGAAAAAGAGATTCTGAATCTCAACGGGACCTCCTGGTTAAATAAATAAATAATTAAAAAATATATATAATAATATATTTATAAATATAATTCTTTACGCTTAGCGCTTAGTTATAGAATAGAATACAAGACATATTTATTGTGCATGAAATAAGGTCTTAGCTGTCAAACTGGTAGCAAAGTAATCCACATTTCGTTGTCAAATTCACCTCGTGTTTTTGTGTAATGACAATTAAGGAAGTCTAAGTCTAAGTCTAGTTTATAAAAATATATAATACTGTAATCACATTTTATAGTATATAAAAAAGGATACAGTTTCCACAGACAAACAGGATGATAAAGTAGATGCTGACTAATATCCCGGGCATAGTCGGTCCCCCGTGAGCCATAATACCATCATACATCACAGAGTTCCAGTCCTCACCAGTCAGGATCTGAGAGATAGATAGATAGATAGATAGATAGATAGATAGATAGATAGATAGATAGATAGATAGATAGATAGATAGATAGATAGATAGATAGATAGATAGATAGATAGATAGATAGATAGATGAATGAATGGATTAAAATATCTATTTTAGTATAAATATATATTTAGAAAATATAGTATTCTATCATTTTTAGTATTAAAAATGTCGTAAAGTGCTAATAAGCATCAGTGATAAATAACCAAAACAAACTGGGCAGTTTGGATAGATAGATAGATAGATAGATAGATAGATAGATAGATAGATAGATAGATAGATAGATAGATAGATAGATAGATAGATAGATAGTACATTTGGATTTCCCTAAAACATTGTTCATAATAACATCAACTCAATGGTCTTTGGGAAAATGATCATTATTTTTGTGCAGAATTAGTTGAATGCCAAAATATCCAACCAAAATATGAGGCAGCATTTAATTCAAGCAAATGACATTTTAAGCCTATTTTTGAAAAAGTAAAACGAGTTTGTTGTATAAGGAACTTTTCATTTCTTATGCCTCATATCGTTGTCCCACATATGTGGCTGTATTGGTTTTGTAGCTATAAAAGTTAATTGACACGTTTAACTTCTTTTGGAATCTCTTTGTACATTTAGTGATTAATCCAAAAAAGTCCATTTACAATTAACAATCATAATTAGATTATATACATACACTCATTCGCAACCTCCCTAAAGCCCCAAAAGATAGATAGAAATAATACATATAAGAAACACTATTGGGTGTGAGACCTGTTATCTATATGACTAAGTTTTATCAACAGCAAAATGGAGCACTAATACAGTATTTTAAAGAAAATCTCTGCTGTTTGCTCCTTGAGTAAATTATCATTATTACCTTATGTCGTTGTCCTACATACAGCGGGGGAAATAAGTATTTGAGCCCTTGCTGATTTTGCAGGTTTGCCCACTTACAAAGAATGCAACGATCTATAACTTTAATCGTATGTACATTCTAACAGTGAAAGACAGAATCCCAAAGAAAATTCCAGAAAATCACATCATATGAATTTATACAAATTGATAACCATCTGATGAGGAAAAATAAGCATTCTTTGTAAGTGGGCAAACCTGCAAAATCAGCAAGGGCTCAAATACTTATTTCCCCCACTGTATGTGTGTATTCAGATAAATGCCCAGTAACCCCCCCCCGGTACCTGGAACACGGTGATGAGGGCCTGGGGGAAGCTATCGAAGGTGCTGCGGGGCTTTGGGTGGTTGGGGAAGTTGAACTTTCCCCCGAACACCTGCATCCCCAGCAGGGAGAAGATAACGATGAAGAGGAAGAGGAGCAGCAGCAGGCAGGCGATGGAGCGCACCGAGTTCAGCAGGGAGACCACCAGGTTACTGAG